CAACCCATTAAGTACATATGCAGGAATATACTATAGAATTGATACAGGCAATCATGGTGCTGCTTTTGCCAAGTCAAGTTGTCTATCAGAAGAGAAAAAATCAGGCTTTAAAGAGAGGATTTTCGAAATTACAAAACAATAGTGTCATTACATTTTCTGATAGTGAATGGGCTAGCCCCCTACAGTCAGTTATGTTCCATACGTGATACACGAATAGGCGATCATATATCTTTCGATACATGACTGACGATTTTTTCCCGCAGCAGCTTGACATTACTTTCTGCAGTAGACTAGTTGCCATCCAAAGTTATAGAAACCGGTCTGTGCTGATATTTACCCAAAGCAAGGGGGAGAAGAGGATTTATACCTTTCCCAAGGGTATTAGCACGTAAGTGAATTTCACTCAGATATGTGCCATGCGTGGTACAGGCTTAGGCGATCATGTATATTTCGATACATGACTGACGAGACAGATTTTTTCCCTGCAGTAGGTTGCCATTGCTTTCTGCGGTAGACCACTTGCCATCCAAGGCTATAGAACCCAGCCTGTCCTGCTATTTACCCATAGTTGGGGAGAGAAGAAGAGGATTCATACCTTTCCCAAGGGCTTTAGCACGTAAGTGAATTTCACTCAGTTATGTGCCATGCGTGATACAGGGCTAAGCAATCAGGTATCTTTCGATACATGACTGGCGAGGCACAGTTTTCCCATAGTAGGTTGACATTTCTTTCTGCGTAGAACAGTTATAGAACCGGTCTTTCCTACTATTTTCCCATAGCTGGGGGGAAAAGAAAATGATTCATACCTTTCCGAAGGGTATTAGCACGTACGTGAATATAATGGATTCGACTGAAATTCGAACTCGGCTCTGCGATTCCTCAAACCGAGCCGCTATCCACCGTGCTTCTAGTTGCCTACACGTTGTCAAAAAGCCAGATGGTAATTTCAGATGCTTGCCAGAAAAGCAAAATTTAGAGACATGCTAAATCTGCTATTTACCTTATTGAACTGCCTACTATTCGCTTTTTATACGGTCCACTTGGATATAATTGGTCCACTCACTGTTACTAGAAGGCATACAATTCTCCTCACAGATACGTGTTAACCTGTATTGACCGCACAACTAAGTGGATGGAAATAGAACGATTACCCGATATAACTGCACGATCTGTTGCCAATGGATTCATTCACGCGTGGATCACACGTTGGGATGTCCCACCTCACGTGATAACTGATCGTGGTACTCAGTTTGAGATGGAATTGTTTTCAGAGATAGCCTCAATAGTCGGCTTCTATAGATTGCACACGAATTGTTACCCTCCTCAAAGGAACGGAATAATCGAACGTGCACACAGAGCAATTAAGACAGTATTAATACCTAGAAATTAATTATGGCTGGACGTCCTTCCAATAATATTAATGAGAATCCGTGCCGCACATAATTCTTTCAATACTTCCTCTTTCTTTACGTTTACATGGATGCATATGGCTCCTCAGTTTCTCGATGTTACTAACCATAATATAGATAAATAGAAGTTTGCTAAGGACTTACAACGTACATTACACGCCTTACATTCAACAGACAGGGATTATAGCTCAGTGAGTAAATCACATCAATACGTTCCTAACAAGCTTAAGGAATGTAAAAATGTATGGCTATGGGTAGACAATTCGCAAGTCTCTAGAAACTCCTTCTAAATGTTACGTAGAACTGACAAATATTTGGTAATTAAAATGAACAATGAGATACAGTCAACGGCATCAACAGATAACGTAAAACCACACGTTGAGCCTAAAAGTCATGAGGACATAATAACGGAAAAGAAACGTCGTAGCGATTATATCATAATGTATACAGAAAACATACCGTATATACTCGAGTATAGGTCGAACTTTTTCTTTTTTTTTAAACCAAAAATTTCACAAAATATTAGGGGTGCGACCTATCCGCTCGACATAAATGTAAAACAAGACTACTACCTTATCATGATTTCTGGGAAATCAGAAATGATACCCATAAACACTAAAGCTGTCGTCTGTCTCCGTATAGAAACAATTTATCTATCGTATATACTAACTCACTGCTTTAAACTTACCTCATGCTGCTAGATCCACATGTCCATCACAATAAATAAATAAAATTATAAAATATTCATTGATCCACCAGTCACCGTTCGGTCGGGGCCCTCGCACTAGACTGATATAGAAACCCTGAATATGCATACATAAGTTAAGGAACCACGTGTCGATGTTTATTGACAAAAAAAAAATAATCCCACGATTCATTCTGCAATACATATATATATATATATATATGTGTGTGTGTGTGTGTGTGTGTGTGTGTGTGTGTGTGTGTGTGTGTGTGTGTGTGTGCAAATATGTAGAAAAATAGGAAAGAACACGTTAGCTAAATAATCCAGGGTTCTTCAGTACTTTTTTTTTTATTAAAAAAAAAAACAGTGCTCCATACAGTGGTCTATTTTGCGAATGAACATGCTTATAAAGATGCGTAAATTTCAAGATTGGTTATTCCTAAATTTTCGCTTGACGATGAAACAGGGCTTGATACTTTAAGTCATTTTAATTTCAGTAATTATATTGAGGTTTTTGGCTCTTGTTTTTGAAACATGAGAACTCTTATGTAGCTAAGGAATCATATTCTTTTTTAAAATAAAATAATTATAATATATATATATATATATATATATATATATATATATATATATATATATATATATATATATATATATATATATATATATTGTCAAAAAAAAAAAAAATATATATATATTTGTCAAAAATACGTTGGAAAATATGACTTAAAGAAATTAAATATATTAATTATGAGATAATTTTCTTTAATGGTTGTTTCATATAATAATAAAAGGCGTTCTTAAGTATTATTTCCAAATAACAAAGCGCATGAATCTAGTACCCAAAACGTTTGCACTATTTTGCATTGCGCAGTGATATAATTGGTAGCCAAATTTATAGTTTCTAATTTTAATTGTTGCAAACCCAAAACATGAGTAAAAGAAAGAATTATGAAGCAGGTTTTAAATTAAAAGTACTAAATTATGCAGAAGAAGATGGAAATCATTCAGCAGAAATGAGAATAATGTTTGACAGCGATGATAATGAAGATCTGAAGAAGAATTCTTGAGATTCAGTTCTGAATGAATTTTAAAACTGTTACTTGATATATAAATAGATAAACACTTTTTTTTTAAATCTACCATAGCATTTTCATCTGTAGTTGTTTTTTTTTTGTTTTTGTTTTTTGTCGAGTTGACTCGATATAAAAATAATATATGGTAAATATAAAAATGGCGGTACAGCAGTTACTTCCTTTTGTTTAAATGACGAAATGTATTTTAACTGCAAATGTGTATTAATAATAGTAAGTTTTGAAATAAAAGTAGAAATAAAGGTAGATACCTGATAATTCTTACGTTTAAAAAGGGTTGTGTAACTCCCCAGTTTGTGGTGTGACCAATCTTCGAGTCAACAGTAAATCATCAATTATTAAGCCATAAAGTAGAGGTGTGACCTTTCCGATTGGGTGACCTCTCCGCTAGTATATACGATAATATCTACTATAAGGCTTGAACGTCACTCAAAGTAAAGGGCTACTGTCGAAACGGTAATGATGAAGGACGTATGAAAATCAGCTTTGCACTCTGTGTAAAAGCTGTGGTATGTTGTGATAAGTATTGACACCTAAAAGTATATTCATAGCTTTTTACCAATTTTTGAGCATTTAGTTTTATATATCGTCTGAAAAATGTATGGACATACCTAATTTCAGCAGCTTTTCTTGGAAAAGAGACCAATATCACTAAGAATTATGAAGCAAGTTTTAAATTAAAAGTACTAAATTATGCAGATGAACATGGAAATCGTTCAGCAGAAATGCGAATGATGTTTGACAGCGATGATAATGAAGATCTGAAGAAGAATTCTTGGGATTCAGTTTTGAATGAATTTTTAAACTCTAACTTGATATATAAATAGACAAACACTTTTTTTTTGTAAATGTACCATGACATTTTCTTCTGTAGTTCTTTTCTTTCTTTTTTTGTCGATTTGACTCGATATAAAACTAATATGTGGTAAATATAAAAGTACTGTTACAACAGTAACTTCCTTTTCTTTACATGATGATTGAAGAAATATATTTTAACTACAAAAGTGTATTAATAATTGTAAGTTTTGAAATAAAGGAAGATATCTGATAATTCTTACATTTAAAAAAGAGCTGTGTAACTCCCCAGATTATAGTGCGACCTATCTACGAGTCAAAGGGGTGCGACCTATTCGGTGGGGGCGACCTATCCCCGAGTGTATACGGTAGATAGAAATATTAAGCCTAGTCATACGAAAGCACGTAGGAATTTTTCTTGGAAAAGAGACCAATATCACTTAGATTAGACTCCACTAATAGGTGGTAAGATTTGTGGCAAGAGACTAGATGTGACCGTAAGTTTTATGTTAACAGTTTCTTCCCTAGCATTTCTCTCTTGTGTAACTCTCTTCCGACTTGTTGCATTCCAGTCAGCTTTCATCTTTAAAAATTTTAATGCAATGTCAATTGGCAAGAAAAATGTCCATTTCCAATGCCACCAATTCCAGTCATTACCAATCAAACTAATATAATCTCTATAAAATAAATTCTATTAAAATATATCGATCTCGTTTGCACTCTAATCTGTTTACCGACATTTCAAGAGGAGTGGTAACAGACATGGCGAGAGGTTAAAGGGATTAACGATTTACAACTTGTAGGGTACAGAGTTTATGTCGGCCAATAGGAGGCCGATCAATATTTACAGGTAATTAATATCTGTCCAAGGATATATAGAAAGATGAGAAGGAAGGAAAATAAAGAAAAGAAACGTATGAGAGAGAAAGAGAATAGTAAATGGTACACCGGGAAAAAGAAAGAGAAATGAAAGCAAGAAAAAGTAAATAAAGAAATGAAAAAAAAAAGAATGGAAAGCTAGAAACAAAAGGAGAAAGAAAATAAGAAAAAGAAAAATCGAAAGAAAGAAAAGAAAGTAAAAGATAAAAGAAAGAAAGAAGAAGAAAAAGGAAAAGAAAGTAAAAAATAAAAGAAAGAAAGAAAAAGAAAAGAAAGTAGAAAATAAAAGAAAGAAAGAAAAAGAAAAGAAAGTAAAACTACAAGAAAAAAGAAAAAGAAAAAAGAAAAGAAAGAAAGAAAGAAAAGAAAAGAAATTAAAAATAAAAGAAAGAAAGAAAAAGAAAGTAAAAATAAAGAAACAAGAAAAAAAGAAAAGAAAGAAAGAAAGAGAAAAAAGGAAAAGAAATTAAAACTAAAAGAAAAAAGAAAAAGGAAAAAGAAAAGAAAGAAAGTAAAACTAAAAGAAAAAGAAAAAAGAAAGAAAGAAAGAAAAAGAAAAGAAAGTAAAAAATAAAAGAAAGAAAGAAAAAGAAACACAAATAAAACTAAAAGAAAAAGGAAAGAAAGAAAAAGAAAAGAAAGTAAAAAATAAAAGAAAGAAAGAAAAAGAAAAGGAAGTAAAACTACAAGAAAAAAGAAAAGAAAGAAAGAAAAGAAAAGAAATTAAAAAATAAAAGAAAGAAAGAAAAAGAAAAGAAAGTGAAAAATAAAAGAAAGAAAGAAAAAGAAAAGAAAGTAAAACTAAAAGAAAAAGGAAAGAAAGAAAAAGAAAAGAAAGTAAAAAATAAAAGAAAGAAAGAAAAAGAAAAGAAAGTAAAACTAAAAGAAAAAAGAAAAGAAAGAAAAAGAAAAAAGGAAAAGAAATTGAAACTAAAAGAAAAAAGAAAAAGATAAAAGAAAAGAAAGAAAAAAAAAAGAAAAAAAATAAAAAAAGAAAGAAAAAAGGAAAAAAGAAAAAAAAAAAAAAAAAAGGAAAAAAAGAAACTAAACGAAAGAAAAGAAAAAAAAAGAAAGTAAAATATAAAAAGAAAGAAAGAAAAAAAAAGATAAAACTACAAGAAAAAAAAAGAAAAAAGAAAAAGAGACGAAATAAAAAGAAACAAAGAAAAAGTAAAGAAAATAAAAATAAAAGAAAGAAAAAGAAAAGAAAGTAAAAAATAAAAGAAAGAAAGAAAGAAAAAGAAAAGAAAGTAAAACTAAAAGAAAAAAGAAAAGAAAGAAAAAGAAAAAAGAAAAAGAAATTGAAACTAAAAGAAAAAAGAAAAAGATAAAAGAAAAGAAAGAAAGAAAAAGAAAAGAAAGTAAAAAATAAAAGAAAGAAAGAAGAAAAAAAGAAAAAGAAAGTAAATAATAAAGGAAAGAGAAAAGAAAAAGGAAAAAAAGGAAAAATTAAGAGAAAGAAAAAAGGAAAAGAAAGTAAAACTAAAAGAAAGAAAGAAAAAGAAAAAAGGAAAAGAAAGTAAAAAATAAAAGAAAGAAGTGAAAGTAAGCAGTAGAGACGAAAAGGAAGAAAACAAAAAAGCAAGAAAAGATACAT